TAGTTGCTATTTAGAATCTGGTTGTATAAGATATTCCATTATATTTCCAGAGATTCGTATACGTCAACACATTTCAATATATATCACTACTTGGGAAGAAAATTGTTTAGGGGAAATCAAATAAAATCAAAGACTACTAAAAATGATTTCAATATGAGACGGGAAATTGGGTGAACCACGATCACATTTTNTGTGTGTGTGTATGTTGGGAGTGGGTGCGTCAGGGTAGCTTTAGTGCTTGCACGAATGTTTTTAGGCTCACAGAAGGGGGCTGTGCAGATGAATACCCACCACTTCTGCTGCAGCCAGCATCCAACAGCGAATCTGCCTTAATAATCGACCACGAACTTGTGCAGGAGATGGAAATCTCGGACACGTCCACAATGTGATTTGTTTCAGCAATGTGTGAAACCACTGCATCGGTGAGCGTTTTAATCGTCCCAGTGCTCAGCCACGCACGATGGTGTTCACGATTCCGTTCGGAAAACCGCCTGATCGTGCGGCCTACGTACGTTGTTCCACAGGAACAAGTAAATGACTACACACAGAATGAGATCGCAGAATCTGGAACTTTGTCCTTTAGTTCTAAACACACAACTGTCTTTGAAGTGAACAACACACGAAGCTTGGACGCACAACAAATCGTATCGATTGCATCGGATAATCTTTCTGTTATGATCTCAGCTGATGTGTACCCTATGAACGGCAGAGAAATGTGCACGGATTTTTTATTATTTTATTTGAATTGTAAAGCGTTCTCAGAGTACTGAATCATTGTGTTCACTAAACTCTCAGGATACCCGTTAGGGGCAAAGTTCGATTTCATAGTACTGGGCTCTTCTAGCGTGCAGATATTTCTTGCCCTGTCCATTAGGCAACAGACCAGGTTCCTTTTTGCCTTATGTGATCCAAAGCTTCGAACTTGATATGTTGGTCTTTCCAAATTGCTTTTCTGAGCACAGATTTCCGGTCTCATGATGAAATAGTTTCCCTTAGTCAGAGAATTTTTTTAAATTTTCGTAAGACAATTTTATTTCTCTGATTCCCACAACCACAAGTACGGTCGAATTAGTCTTCAGTTGCGAGAGTGGTGAGCCTCCATATCTGTGCACATAACTTCAATTCACTTTTGAACTTTAAACAATAATTCCTAAAAATTAATTTATCACAAGGTGAAGACACAAGTAGTGGGATGGTAACACTAAGCACTCAAATGTTGTTGACGCAACCACGTCACTTGTCGTGCAGTTGACCTCTTGTTTTGAATTTTGATAGCCCCTATCAGTCTGCCTTCGTCGTTCACTAGTCAATCCAATGTGCTTTATATATGACCGTCTGTTTTACGTTAACCAACAACGAAATCAAACGAAATGTGAATACCTCGTGACCTATAACCTCTTTTGTATGTGCAGGATTAAAGGGGGGGGGGAATTGTTTCAAAGTTGTTAGTCGTGAGTTCTACTACCTGTCATTAAGGGGACAAATTGGTCCAACCAACGGTCGAGCGGCCAGGTTAGAAGTTTTCTGTTTTTTGTCCTTGAGGTCGTGGGCCCAATTCTCAAATAGATCGATGAATTTGCACTGTGAGACATAACCAGGTCCAAACATCTGTTCAGTGCTGCCTACCTTTACAGTTTGCGCTTCGTTCGCTCTGTGCGCAATGAAGTTTACCACGAAAACGCTACATTTTCCAGTGCCTCACCGAGTCTTATTACCATTTGTTTTCTCTGTACTCCGGTTTGGGTTATTTATTACATCTATATGGCATTCAAGAATGTTTATTCTTTCACATCGGTTTGGAATGCGCAAATCATGATAAACGATGCCGAACGTTTTCCCTCGTGAACGAAAGTATACCCGACCTGCCTGGAGAATAGTGTCTTTCACAAAAGCTAATTTAAGTAAAAACAGCTGTTTCATGTTAAGTTCCACTCCTCTGTTAACAATGTATCTTCTCCTGTATATCACTGTAAAATCTGTCCAATATGTTGAATAATGGACAGTACTTCACCATGGATAAGCGGCAAAGATTGTTACTTTCTCAAAAGTAAAATCTGCGTACATTCACGGAGAATATACATCATGAAGTTATTGTAGGCGATAGTTAGTGTCAGGCAAACTATTATATATAAGTTGTTTTCATTGTTGGTTAGCAGAAACGCATTTTAGGAAAAAATATTCTGTCGAATATTTTACTTGTAGAATTACAAGAAAATCTGTCTGTCGGGAAGTGAATTTCGCCAAGTTAGAGAGAGATGGAGCATGAAAAATGTTTAGTAATATTCATTTGAAAAGAGGATTAGGAGAAACGCTTTTCTGATTACCAGTAACATTTCCAAGTGGATGAGTCACACAGAAGGACCTTGAAAATAAACGATGTTTGACATTTTTCATCTTTTCACTTAAGGAGAACTTTTTTGAACTCACATGATTTATTATGTTTTAAAACTCTGCTCTTCTAGTTAACCAGTTTGACCCTCAACATGATCTATGTCGCTCTAGTTGACGCACCGGAAAAAAGTAACTTTGTTAAGCGATACCTCCGGAGTACAAGTGTATTCGAACTAGATCGGTTTTCCCATTAGGCTTTCAATTTCTCTCTTACATTAATCTTCCAAACACCAATGGTGGACGTTTTGAAAAAGATTTGTTCACTCGAGAGACGTAACTATCACTGAGTTGAAGTGACCGTTGATTTTGGACACTGCTATAAGGCCTAAATGAGTTTCAACTAGACTGTCTACTTATTTGCTGCGTTGAGTTCATCTGCTTAGTAGTGCACTTGTTGACTGTCGAGGTTTCACTTGCTAAACCTGCTGACCATAGACGAGTATGATGACCTTTAATGCCATTTTTCTCTGACATTTGAAACTTTTAACACCCTCAAACGTGTAAAAAATATTTACAAAAGTGCAACGCAGATAGCACTGAAACGTAATAGTGGAATATGATATTACGAAAATGAGGCCGTTATTTCATGTCGCTTCACCTCCGACATGGTGTCAGTATGAAAGAAAATCAGTGTGCACCGTTCGTACACTTTTAATGCATTATTGGCTGTTAAAGATGAAATTTTATCATGTCATTTTCGTATACTGAATTATACCATATTGTGAACTGTAAGCAGTAATAACTAGAGGAAGCCAAGGATTTAGATAAAAATGTGTAGTGACTTCAACACCAGTGCCACGGAATTTTATTATTATTTAAGGTACTAGTTTGTTCTATGTATTTTGTATTCGTGGTGATAACTCCACACAAAAAAGATTTGACTACCGTTGCGCAGCAAGGGCATTTGAGTAGCATCATCTGCAGTACACTGATGCCACGGAATTGTTTCTAACTTCATTAAAGGTTAAGGAAAGCTATCCTGATGGTACCACCGCAAGACCACGCTATACGCGTATTGAAATCCCATTAATGTAAAACGTCAAAGAACATCTGACGATCATGCTAACGAATCCTGAGAACAACGTTATTGTACGTTAGATTTCTCTTGATTGGGCCGTACGCAGGAACGGTATCTAGCACAACAACGTATGTATCATTGTTTCTTACTCCACCGCACGAACCTATGGGATCAGAAAAGCGTGAGCTTGTAAGTTATTCCCATAATAAATTTTTGAATTTTTGAATCTTTGAAGCGTCATGGTGCATGACATTGCTACCGCATGCACGATCCGTCACAAAACGATATGCACAGATATTAGCATGCTTCTAATCCATTGTATAAATGAATATAACCCCCTTTCCCTTTATAACACATAGACTGAAAAAGTTGAAGGGATAATAATATGCACTTAAAAGAATCAGTTATTGATTATTTAATCATAAATATCTTTATTTGGGAATGTAAACCTCTAGTTAACTAGGAATTACAATGGACATTTTTGAATCCACAGTAGAAGTATCTATCTATGTAAAATACAGCACATACATCATATTCGTTCTTCTTCCTTTTTTATTAACCCAACTACTCAACCAGATTCCATCTATTTGAAAAGAGGCACACAGCTCAAACTCAGCTGGAAGTATCTTGTCTTCTTCTCAGCGTTGAACGCTAATCAATCACTCTGAGAGGGAAACTACCCAAGCGATCGACCAGCCTCCGGTCTGTAAACAGAACTAACAAGGAAGTTATAACTGCCCAATGGGGATTTTTTTGTTCTCTACTATATATATGTGTACATCTAAAAGCTATGAAACAGCTCTGATTGTGCTGGGAGGATTTTTTACACGAGATAAATGAGTGAAGGACGGAAGGACGGAAGGAGAACGATTGAAATCTGCAATAGAAATGACGTTGACATCGAATATCACTGCCTGCAGCGGACACGGAAAATGGGTTTGAGAGGGCGAACCAGAAAGATAGGCAATGTCTCGAGCCGAGGTGAGGAGACAACAATGAGAAGGCTGTCGAGTAGTGGTGCTGGAGACGGTTTTGCGACTGCTGAAGTAGTCTGAATGGAGTAAAGTATAAGAAAGTGAAATGGAAAAGGCAACACATTGGGAAGGAATAGCAGAGAGACTTAGGAATAAACAAGTGGCAGTAATCTGTTTGTTCCTTTTGTGCGGGTTTAGTTTGGAGTCGGATGGCAACGATTTGCACTATGCGTGGCTGTTTGCTCTGTGGTGAATGCATTACATGCAACTACACAATCGTCGAAACATGCAATCGTTACAACCGTGTGTATTTTGAAGTAACGAAACGAACTATTGAACGAAATGAACCGGATCGCCATCACTGTCGAAGCAGTCGAATGGATGCCCCGTGGGCATCAAAAACGAAAGTGGCGAGAACCGGTATTCTTGTCCAACGGTGATGGCGCGGGGCAAGATGGTAGGTCTGTGAACTGTCTGATGGGTTTGAAATATGGCTCGAAATGTGGTCTTGAACGAGGAGCAGGGAAGGGGATGTCTCAGCGAAGTGGTTCAGCCACAGTGGACGGAGGTTGTTTTATTTTCATAAAGTTTCAGAAGTTGAGTTTGCGTACGTTAGTTCATTGGTTTGTGGGGTTGACCAAAGCCCAAGGGTATTGCCGGAAAGAAGTGATAGCCGTTCGTCCATGCCAGCGCAAAGATTGATGAAACGAATGAGCCAGCTGACCCAAATGATAGAGAATTGGACGATCTACCCAAAACGGAGGTGTGAATAGGTAGAAATCACACAAATGAAACGCGCGGCTCAGGAAGTCCGGCCAGTGACTTAGATGCGGTGCAACTGAGGTGATCCCGATAAATACGACTGCGACACAGTAAGGGTTCCGAAGTCCTGCTTCAATCCGTTCCCATGCGATAGCAAGGCGTATACCACGTTCAGCTATTTAAAGGAAAGATAAGAAGCAGTAAGATAAACTGATCACTCGATGAAAGCGATTTCAGATAAGTAAAGGTTAATTGGCGTCGTTTCAAAGTTGTGGTATCGTCGTCTGCGATCAAATTTCGAAATTCGTATTTCATTTGGCTAAATACTCAGACACTTTTATTTGTCACCCTATAATGTATTGCAAAGAGGAACTGACATACTACACGTTAGGGGGTGAGATACCTGCGATAAGGATATGGGAAATGAAACAGTCGACAGAATGGGGATAGCTAACGGCATTTGAACTAATCGGCTCAATAAAGTGATTTTTAAGAATGTTGACAGATCGTTTGGAGCAAATCAAAAACCTGTTTCTCTTGTATCCGATACTAGATATTTGCAAAATGGGCTGTAATGAAAGAGCCAACTGAATTACTCAAACTGGGTAGTACGAAAATCTTCCATATATATTTTCTGTGAGGGTTTCGGGTTAGTAGATGGACTAGAAAGTTTGAAACGAACGGAAAAAATGAGGCTTGTCCATGTCCATAGCCCCTCTGTTTAATACGGCGCCTTTTGGGAAACTGATCAAAAGATGCAGCCATCGGATTCCCAATTGTAGAAAACAGATAACTGCGGTATCTGGGCATCTATACGGAGATATTTGTATAAGTTGTTGATGGATTATATGGTCACCGGAACCCTTTTGAACAGAACTGGAAATAGTGGATTGGAAAGATGGATCAATGACTTTCAGCTATGATTACAATGTATAATCGAAAGACAGTATGACAGATTATTTCCATGGTGTAACCGTATCTGTCGATCACTTAACCTTTGTAACATACGAGCGTTATGTACACAACTAGCACAACGCTCACTTGGCATCCAAAGGTTCGTTTCTCTCACAGATGAGAAAGATCAGTCTAGCGCCACATTGAGCGGTAGGTAAACTTTAGATGAAAAAACACTAAAATATCCGTTCTTGTTGGCGATGAATCACACTAGGCTTTATCGGATGTGATTATTATTCAATGCAAACGGAAAACAAGAACCCACTTTAGGTAAGAATAGTACACTGCCGAACGGAATGAAATTCAGATTGAATGTACACTTTTTGGTTCCACCCATTTGAACTACCAGCCCTTTGGATTCGGCGTCTGATTTCGATTGTGTAGAACTTTATCCTGTATCCATATTGCGAGTCGTAGAAAATGTGTGAAGTCCAAAAAAAGGAACCGGACAATAGTGACGCATAAGCTTTACGTATGTTATGTTCATTTCCCAGACATGAACTGCATATCATAAGATTTGGGAACAAACATTTCCAGTGTTCGAAGATTAACAACTTGAACGGGTGGCAAAATGATGTGAACATTTGGGGTCACTCCAATGGAGATTAGGAGCAAACGCCTTAAAGTGGATGTCAGAATCGTGTACAATGCATTTGAAATGCGCCGAAACATCTCTTTAAAACCCATGCTCTGGCTTCGGAAACAGATAAACCGTGCGGAATCCACATTAGATCCATTGGAAATGTAGATTAGAGGGGGAAAATATCAACAGATGCGACTCCTTTCTCATTGGACCGTGTGTTGGTTCGTGAACTGCAAATGTGGTGGATAGAACCGGCAAATGACAGGTCGATTTCATCTAACAGAATAACTCCTCCGAAAAATTTTAGCAATCAAATTCTACCTTTCAATTATTGGGCGCAATTGTGTTACCGAACCGGTCCTCTTTGCCCTTTAACAGTTAACACCATTTCTGGTGAAACGATGATTTTCAAAATCAGTCAGTTTTTCGTCATAATGTATACAAGTCTCTGAACTCACAGATCACTCAAAGCTCTCATGTGGTTGCCACCAGCTACTAGTCAGCGATTGGTGTAACGCTAACAACATCCAGATTAATTGTTACTTTCGGGAGCCTCCGATTAATAACATTTCAAAAGATTCCAGTTTTATATAAAAGGTTATTATTGTAACTATCGATGATCTCGATTAGAACAAGGGAGATCGAAATCGAACCAATTTACAACCCTATGTTGAACCACTATTGCTGAATTATTTGTGTTTGATTGGCGCCGCCTTTAAATAGCACACTCCACTGATCACATTCTCAGCGGGTCAACTCGATCAATAACTCGCCTATATTTCACGGAACAAATGGTGCAAATCAGGCCATGACTATTCGGACACGTGATGCTGGTGCCTCCAATATAGCTGATTCTACGTTGCTATCTTTCCCGCATTCCAAAGCCACGAATCGTTCCTAACGGCTAGTCGATCGTATACGCTCGGTCGAGTGTGTGAAGATGTCTCCATGCAAAGTTTCATCGATTCGCTAAACATTCATCATTACTGGTTCAACAAAATGTACGGGTAACACACGGTGTTTCGCGTAGTGCAATCCAGTTATAATACAGCACATTGACCTATCGCACGTGGACAATATGAATCGTGAATCGTTTCTTGAAATTATTTATTTACCAGGCAACAACAAAATTACTTAGAATATTGAGTTAAAAACCATATTCGACTAAAATGGTTAAATCATTATCATAAGTTTTATATCATCATTTAATTTATTGTAGTTACTTCAATGAACATTCAATGTTTGTACAATAAATATAATAAAACTGACTAAATGCATTAGACAGTCGTTCAACACTAATCAATTATATCATGCCTCCACATACCTCCTATCTGTGATACTTGTCACTGAGAATTACCACCCGTTTCCCACTCTAACTGAATTGTAGATTAATCGTAGAGTCGTGGATTTTATCTCCATAGTTTAGAGCTTTTAAACCGAAGGCATAAAAATGTCAAACAGCGATGAGGAAGCTATTCCGTTGAGAGTGATTTTAAAGCAGCCTCAGCAACGACAAATTACAGAGACAGCAGCGGTCTAAAGTTCTTCATTTTTCGGTGCTCAACCAAGTGTGGAATTCGCATCTGACGGTACTCACAATCGTCTAATAATAGGATTCCCGCATGGGGGAGATGTGAATATTTGAGACATTGATGAAATATACTTTTATTCAAATAGGTTACAAGAAACATTATAGTTTGCCTAAAGTGGAAATTGTATTTTTAATAAAGAGCTCCGAACAGCAGCAAATGCATGAAATCGTGTGGAATTAATGACCTCCCAAAGAGTGAAAACCACACCATAGAACATCAGAAGTGCCCAGTGCTCCTTGAAACTCGAATAGGCTAATCCAAGCTTGCTACTCTGGAAATTTTATTATTATGGGCAAATGGAAACAAGTGAAAAAACTGTAACTAACCAGTGGTTGCACCAATCCGGAAACGGTTACTATTATTGAGCTGATTGCGGATGTCCAGAAGTTGAACTAATTTATTGAAGTGTTCGTGGAGACTTAAATCCATCCGTATTTTTACTTTTTTTGGTTCTCATTAAAATATTTGAATATGAGCATTGGTGACATTTAAGAAAACTACAACGGCCACAGTAGTTATCTGAAAAATGAACACAGCCGTAATAGAGGGCAACATAAAGTTAAAAAATGATCATTATTCTTTTAAGCTGTATTTGGTCGATCTAAAGAGTACACAGATTTGTGGGATCCCTGTGTGGTTCACGGCAAGGTAGGATGCTAACAGCGACTAATTGCATTGAGACTGATACTTTAAAAACAGTTTTTCAGGGCTGAGCTATTATCATCGTGTTCATTGTCTCTGTGGATTAGACACTCACGTCATCGATCAAGGGAAGCAACAAAGCCTATTATTCAACCCAGTTCATGGGACGAGATCGAGATCCACGAGACATAATTTTTTTAATTTCGACGTACAAACTAGATCAATATAAGGTGGTTTCGAGCCGAAATACATGTCTGAGTTCAAGTTATTAGGAAAGGGGGGTGGCTATAAGTGACTTGTTCATAATGTTAAGATTCTCCTTATAACGGTGGATGTTAAGAACTACATCACCGCCACCAGAGATGTGCCATGTACCGTTAGAAATGACGTATCAGTGAAAGCCGACATATAAATAATCGATGCCCCAGTTTCCAAACACATGGTCATCAATATTTATTGTATTCCACAAACCAAGTAAACACGTTTTCGATGAAGTGACTGAATTTCTCACTGAGTGAGACCGTAGATAATCCCCAGCGGACGTTTACGCCAGTTTTCTTCGATATTGTTTGTCTGAGGTCAAAACTGTGACGGAGAAAATAGGTGAGACAGTACGCCTTTGGTGTTCTGCTTTGTGAAAATTAATCACATATTCAAAGGCGATTCTCAATCGGCATTGAACGACAACTCCAATATAACAACAACAAGAACCACACAGTGAGCCATTTCTGTTTAACTTAGTGACACCGGGTGATATAGATTTTCAACCCAACCAGTCGAAAGTTTCGATCAATAAGGTAGATTTAGTATCTAGATGGGTACATGTGCAAACCTACGGATCTTCATTTTTACTGTGCGTATTTGTAAATGCATGGTTACCGACTTTAAAGTTGCTCCATGTGTAGTTTAGGAATAATAACAATTGATATTAAACTAAATCATCTAATCAGTCAACCTGAGGTTTGAAGCCATTTTGGGGCACTTTTTAATTCTATCGTCACATGCTTTTCATTTATATTGTTTACGAATAAAGTGTGCGAAATTTCCACGTAATTAACAACATTTCCAAACAGTAAAACCCATATCAGGATAACAATAATGTGCAAAAAGTGAAATGGGTGACATCACGATGCTTTTTGCAAAAATACATTCAGGTTAATTTCTGAAAGCATGAGCACATGCTATTTCCCGTCTACCAAATAGTTCAGAAATAATTAATCCAATTACCAACTTGAACACTGATGGAGTGTGTATCAGCAAAACTGAACGAAGCAGGCTATGCTGCTGAACCCTGACGCGAGCAAACAACTAACCAGTTCTGTTATATAAAAATTCCTACGAAAATGATATCAGTTTCGTTATCATTATATCAGATAGGAGAAAAACGAAAACTAAATTCAATTGTTACATTTAAATATACCAATAATGTAAGATAAATATCTACGTGAGGTGGTTCCGAGGGACCAAGTGTTTGTTATATAACGTCACTTGAAAGGGTTTGGGCGCGGCGGATGATTGGGTTATCTCTCGTTCAAACACGGAATCCTGAACTATGAATTTTGACCGCCTTTTCAAGGGAAAAGTATTGTGCCGCATAATTTTGTTCTTCCTCAACCAATACATCTTGGTGTATTTCGGTGAGTAGCGTCGTTTTAGTCCATTCTTATTGTGAACTTATGAATGGATGTGAGACTAAGAGCTGATGCATGAGTATAATTGGTCCCCGTGTGGAAGCCCGACAATTGAAGAACAATTTGCATTTTGCATTTTTGTCACGACCTTGTGCCTCACTGTGAGAGAAACTGAAGGACAAATACAATGACTTATACAGAGTCAAGTGAACTTTATCTACTAGCACCACCAATCGTCTTGGATCTACACCAAAGGATCTGGCATGAAACGTGTTGTGTCACAGCTATTCTAGGAACATCGAGGAAACCATCTGTGCAAAGTAAATGAAGGTTACTGGCCAATCCAGTGTGATTTGATCAGTGTGTAGTCAACCATAGGAAGCTTTCCCAAAATATCGGCTTGACTTTCGGACACTGGATCGCATATTCTGGAAGGGATTGAGCTTTAGCTTATTCAAGTTTAAACAAGCTTTAAAAAGTTGCTGATCGTTTCTGGATATTTCAGAAGATCTCCGTATTACCGGTGCATTCAGTTGTACTTCATCGCAGCAGGTTTGTGACATCAAAGCTAAAATTATGGTATTGCTTATGGATAATCAAAGTAATATTTTAAGAATTTGCTTAAAGAAAATCTGGCAAGATTCACTGCGTATGTTGAGTAAAAACACGGATAACTCGTGGCACGTGTGAGCATGCATGATAGAGGAGACACATTGCTGTGGACAAGCTGTTAAAATACGGATTCCATTTTCGTAGAGGTTCCAAGTAACCCTGCCGTCCCCTGCCTGGGTGGGGACAAAAGTGGACATGGACAATTAATAGATTACACTCGTGCCTTGACAGACAGCTGTGCATACGAAAACTGTGACTGTGCGCAGCATCAAAATGCGTTTGCAGCGTGACGCAATGATGAGAACGCGTTTGCCAAACGACCGACAAAGGTCGATCACGCTATTCTCACTAATCAAAGGTGCGAAAACATGCGCAGTGATGATTTTAAACAGCCTGATTGATTGAACCGGTCTGAAATACCACCCATAACTGCATGTTTATACGAGCGCATGAATCCACAATCTCGACGCGTTTTTTTATCAGACAGCCAGAGCTAACCGGATGTGGACAAATAAACGAATAGTGTTTCACCGGAGTTGTCACGTACATGCCGTTCACAATAGAGTGGAATCATTGTTGCTTCATGCTGTTAAAACAATGTAACGCTGTTGTTGATCTTGTGGCATGTTCAACAAAAACTAGTCAGAACTAATACCACAGAAGATCACCTATCATTGATGCTACCAACAAATGTGATGGTTTCAATACGCGATTGCGGATTTTGTGCTCTGGTAAAGAAGTTATTCGATGCACATATCATAACGTCTAATTTATGAAGTTGGATGAAACAACCACGTGACTTACACATGGCCTCGTACAAGCGTTCCCGGGATTCAAATGTTGCCGTATAGAACCAATAAAGATGTCGTGGAATGTAGATTGTGACTGAAAATGGAGGAACATAGGGGTTGGAGTAAATTTGCATCAAATACATATGTGCATAAGTCTGAGATGCAGTCCATCAAATTTGTCGCTTTTACACATGATATGTTTGCTTCTAGTGATAACCTCTACGGACACATCAAAGGTCAAATGTAAAATTATATTTTCCGAAAATTGTCATGATGTTTTTGCTAGTCAATCGGATATCTATTCCTGAAGCCCTATTGAGCCTAAGAACAGAGAAAGCATGTAACTGAAGTCAGTTAACCTTTTTCCGTTTTTGCAGCTTAACTTTTCCAACAAATGTTCCTTAAATATGTCGAAAACGACGATAAAGGGCAAAATACCTATTGAGGAACAAATCATTTTTATTTTGGAAAAGACAGTTAGACACTGGGAGCCATTCATACATAACAAGACTTGTAGTTCGTGAGCGAAAAATGAGTGAATGGTCCGTTATTCCTTGTAAATCAGAAATAGTGAACCCCATTAAAGTGTTTTTGAGAAAATAAAGTGAACACAATAAAGGGTACGGAGAAACAAATAAATGAATAAGCTGCAATTATTCCTGCATTTCTAAGACCAAGTTTGATGCGATGACATTATTAATGTTCGCCCTGTTTTCTCCAGTTTTTTGGCTAAAAAGGGATACAATTTATAACCGGGGTAAACCACGGATCTCAACTTAACGAAAGTTAATTCTGAATAGAAGGTAGTTGCAATATTCTGTACCATAATAATTATTACAGGCCTCTAAGTCAACATTTTTGTATACTGATATATGTTCACTATCACAATCAGATAAGAAAGTAGATAACGTTTCACATAGATCAGTGATAAGGAGTCTTCCAAATTATTGGCAACTATCTGCATGTGAAACAATGTACGGATATTTTTATGTTTAGCCAATTGATCTCTCCGGTAACGATTTCCATGTCTGCCGAAAATGACAAAAGCTTCAATCCACACTTTTGTTCAACCTAGAGGACTGTTCCTTTCTTCGTCGTTCTCAATCCCCTAATCGCTTGGACTGTGCGAAGTGGAGTTATACTTCAAAAATACAAATTTTAATTTGGAAAACGAGTCATTGTATTTTATTTTTCCTTGTTTCTCAACTTTATTTTCACCACACGTAATCATCTGTTGGCCGCAGACTCAACTGAGTGACATGTTCCGCTTTACGCGAACAGTGTACGGCAAAGAATATTTGACCTGAAAGAAACTGGACCGTAATCGCTGGATGTGCATGTACATCAATATGTTTTCCCGAAGGGACTGGATGGGCACACAACAAGTGTGCCACACTGTACCGGGTGGGGATAGTTTGAATGTACTTGTGCCAGGCAGACTGGCGCTAATATGTTTGAGCTTTATAAGTCACTTGCTGGTTAGATTTTCATCCAGATAAGTGAATAAAATGCAGAGTACACAGAACACTCACTAATCGGGATAAGGGAATCGGTTGAACGAAAAAGAAGAAACAGAGTGTCCTTTTTCCAGTGCAATCTACAAGAGTTCACCGAAGTAAATTTGGACTTGTAATCAGATTTAATTCTCATCAGCAATCAATCACCATCAAACTTAAAGCGATCGACACCGTTAAGGTGGGTCATCGTTCCAACTAAACATACCATCACAGATGTTGGATTTAATAGTTGCTAATCTAAGATATATACATATATGTGTTGACGCGAATAATTATTTCTAATTATTAAACCAATTTCTGCTCTGCCGCTTTTGACTGGGGTATATGGAAGTGGTGTTCAGTAAGTTAAAGCAAGAGACGTGGAAGTGTGGTTAAATTGTGATTTATTAAAACAGCAGAGCAATTATACAATAAGCGTCTGGTAAATTGTCCGGATCCGTTTTTGCCTCCATCAACACATTTACATCACATTTAAAATGGTGCAGAATTGTGGAAAAACAGCGCAAATCAAATCTTCTGTAAACATATTTCTATTGAAACTGATTCAATTTCTTCTTTTCCGAAAATGTTTACTCCGTTCAGATTATTTTCTTCACTATTTTGTTCTCATGTTTGAACTGTCAAAAACTTCAGGTTCTTCAGTGGGTTACGAACCTGTGCATGGACGTCATCTAAACGTCTACGGTGCGCATGCTTCAGCAGCCGAACCACGAGGCCACGCATTTAGCACTGATTTTTCACATTTGGTTTATCTGTCTAAACGAAATGCTCACATGGAATGCTCCAGGTTTCATATAAGATAACAACCATAAATTCCACTATTGAAACCAGGAAATCAAACCGGTCAAGTCAAGTCAAGAAAAGCTTCAAACATCCAAATTGCAAGTTTTCAGCAATTTCCGGATTTGTACAATAGACAAGTAAAACAAATTGTGATAAAAAAATAATATAGTAAATTCTATAGTGTAGCAACTGAGAAAAAAGGTAACGCAACTCATTTCCCAAAAGTGGGTGACGATGGTCTTACAGTTAAACAGTAGCCGAGAAAGGTTTGGAATTATATATTTTATATATGAATGTACACGCAGGAAGTAGTGGATGTTTGAGCCAGTTAGGGTATTCAATTTCTCGGTGCAGGCAGTGCCTATAGAATATAAACGAGAAGTTCATTCGGGGAACTTCAGTGGATTTTACGGCAAACCTGTCGTGCCAGTCAGCCTGAATACTGACCGGTGAATGAAATTGGCTTCTGCAGGTTAGATGGGTTATCTCTATGTGAAAATTTTAGTTGTATCTTTTCGACCTCGTTAGTCGGTTGGTAGAGGGTGCATTTATCGAACGAATAGTCTGCGCCGATGCGTTGGTTCAAATTACACCATGGCTTTTCAACCTTTTCAATTCTTACTTCAGTTTGTTCACCGTTTTACCAAGAGCTAAACTTCGCTTGTGTACAGCTTCAAACGTCAGCTCCTCTTCCGTATTACATCGTTGGTCCCAAAAAGAATGCATACATTGCACCATTTAAACACTCGATCAGGCAATCAGAATGTGATTTGGTAGTTATGTTTAATTTGTATATAGAATTTAGCAATCTTTCGGTACATGATGGCAGCACCAACGCCGTCGGACAGACTCACTCAAATAGAAGCAAATTGCGTGATGCAATTGATGCATAGGAAGCAGCCCGTTATTTTCTGATTGCTGTCACGATGATTATCACCGTACCATGCAGCAAGCCCAATGAGGACAAATAGCCTAAAGTATTTGACCTTAGATCAGTTACAATCATTCGTGTTTCATCTGCTTCTATTGAAGATTCGCTCGTGACACTGGTCACTCATCATACGGTCACATGTTTTTCCTTGCAGCAGTACCCATCATAAAATCATTACAACATGAACTGTCAGATTACTGATCTCCATCTCACCTCCTAAACAGATCAGCACTTTTCCCGTCGAATCCGAATTCATAAAATCTCGCCCAGATCCTACCTGATGAAATTTCTGACAATCGATGACATATCACGGAAAAACAATTCAGGAAATTTGAATCTTAACTGGAATTTGGAACGTTTTATTTGCTTATTTCCAACACCAATGTTAACCAATTAAAATTTACATGGTTTTTCACTATTTGTCAAACCGTGTTTGATTGAATTGTGGAAAGCCAGTTCAGCAAATTTAACATAAATAAGAAGCACATTTTACAGAATTAAAGAGGTTACGCTAAAAGGCTGTACTAATGATAAGAAAATGTATGCTTACATCCAACTATCCGGGCCAGTCAGCTTTTCACCTTTTACTGAACACTGTGTTGCAGTCAGTCACAGTGGAGGAGTAAAATAATGTGTTCTGCTTGGTATACTGAATAATAATAATAATAATATTTTTCACTTCATTTTATAAATTAGCTATGGAATATGGTCCATACATTCATCAATCGTGTATCCTCCCATACTTTAATAATGGCTATGTTTTACGAGACTTTCGGGTAGACGATATCAAAACGCTCAAAAAAAAGACAGAATTAAACAGGAATGTGCGCTGCACGGCCTAGTTGCCAAATGAGCATCCAACCAATGCCACTGAATTTGTAGAGTAACTTTCCAAGGGTTCATGAGACAGGTAAATGATGGGACTTGTTGAGACTGGTGCAAACGGGATGGAATTCATGTAGTAAACCGAACATCGGTGCAGTCTCGATGGAAGCCATCAGCTGCAAATGTGTTTCCGCAAGTTTGACGTTTCACGTACTGACTGGAAATGATGTAGCTAACCGAAACACATGTTTTTGCATGAAAGGCGGTAGAAAACTATCTGACTGCATGGCACCATCAAAAGCTAGTATGTGGTGCTCTGAAATGATGGACTCATCACAACCTAAAAAAAATGAATAAAATTAAACAAATGCAGAGGAATACATTGATTGCCGAACAATGAATCTAAAAAGCGATATAAATAAGTTTATTCTATTAAACTCCTGTCGATTAACTTTCAATGAATTGTTGATGTTACATAACACTTTTAAAACGCTCACACAGTGATGATCGACGCACTGACTTTGTGGAGCTGATAAACTTTCAAGAATAAACAAATATCAAAATGTGTCAGTTAGGCATTTCGCGTTTTACTGGAAGCTGTGTTAAAGTCAGTTACAGTGGAACAGTGGAATAATGACTTCTGCTTGGTTTATTAAATAATAATAATTATAATATTACTTTTTAATTATTTCATAAAAGTAATTAAAGCACAATACGGGACTCGGGTTTTAGGAAGGGAGACTAAGGTTAATCAAGGACTTTATCGGGAAAGAAATAAATGATTAAAATAAACGGGTGGCTGTCCAGTTGAAACATAAGATACCCCATTTGTTGTAATGATATTAAAGGTATTTACCCCTTTCACGATAAAAGCACTTTACTGACGAGATACACATGGCACGCAAGTATTTTGAATTCTAATAAAATCAATAATTGCTTGGTATTCCTTGATGGTGTTTATTCTGGTTTGATATTACTAGTGCATTTTGGTATAAATTTATTCCGGCTAGCGCCGACGAAAGTGTGCGAAATGATGTA